TAATAATGATAACAATAATAATAATTACAATAACAATTATTAAATTAAGCTAAATATTACCATTTAATATTTCACTGTAAAATAAAATTGTGCATTGGTGAAAAAATTTCAACTATTATCATTATTATTATTACTACTAAATAAAAATATAAAATTACTACAAACAAAATAAATATTACTATTTTAATGTTTCACTGCAAAAAGTGTATTTAACAGGGATGTAACTATTCACTCAACTCACGATTCGAGTCACGATTTTGAATTCACAATTCGATTTTCTCACGATTTTTTTTAACAAAATGATTGAAGACATTATACAGTAAATGAAAAGGTGTCGTTTTATTAGGCTATTGCTGCACGTTTCTTTGTGAAATTAAAATAACAAAACTAAATAGAAATTTTAAAACAAACCACAAATCAAACAAGTTACACAAATAAAAGAAATCTCTTAATATGAACAAACTAAGGCTTTGTCTGTGCTCTTTCCATTTAAAATTAGAGGCAACCACTGGATTTAAATCATGATCCAAAGAAAGATGCAGCATACATGCAGCATGAGTAGTAAAAATAACATTATTTTGTGTATTTGGTGTAATGAAATGTGCTTATGCGGTTTAAGGTTAAAAAACACATTATTTTCCACATACTGTACATTATTGTTTCTCCTCTATGCCCCGCCTTTCTGAAACGCGTCGATTTTTTCAAAGCTCATCGGTCTGAAAAGCGAGGTGTGCTCTGATTGGCCAGCTATCCAGTGCGTTGTGATTGGCCAAATACCTCAAGCGTGTGACGGAAATGTTACGCCCCTTACCATATTGTGATGCCATTTTCAGCCGGAGCGTAACATAAAATCATGTCTGCATTTGTGATCGGAGAAATGACAAACAACAAGAGCTACACTACACTGCCCAAAAAACTTGCGTTTGAATCATCAGTGGCAAATTCTTTAAATATAAAAAACGTACTTACAGTCTGTGAGTCAGAACAGCCGGCATTGTAGTCTACTCTCCCAGGATCAGGAAACAGTCCTCCATAAAATGCGCTGCACACATCTGAATATTTGGGTTGAAGTGTTCTGGAACAGTGTTGTAAATACAACTTAACCACTGATTTCTAGTCGTGTCCTCTTTTGGAAGACCAAACAAAGTCGTTTCGCTTTCACAACGAAAAAGCGTCACACACCGCGGCCTTGAGTGAGTGGAGGCCGGAGGCCTAGAGAATGTGGAGGCCAGCTTGAGTGAGCAGTGGCAGGCGGGCAGATTTGACGAAGGAGCGTCCAAGATCTTTACAGATCTTCTTTATGCACCAAGAGCTTGTAACACTCCAAAGAGAAAGGAAAAATTGAAATCGCATCATATGACCCCTTTAATCTAAATTAGACTGTATAATTTCGAAATCTGAAGAAAAAAACAGAATGGTTTGACTTTAGTTTTGTGAAACTGTACTACATAAAACATCTGAACGAAACAGCAGAGAGCTGAATGAGATGCAGATTCACTCTCTGACAGCAGGTGGCGCTTATGAACAGCAATGGTACAGTGTTTCCTGGGTTACCGCTGTAAACAAAGCAGAGCTGCGCTTATGAATGCTACTTTAATATGCATCGTTTAGAGACAAGATGAAAAGAAAATGCCACGTAAACATTTCAAAAGACGGACAGTTCCCCTCAGAGATACATTCATATAAACTCCTACTCCAATTGTATCGCGATTTGTTTGGCATCTCAACCAATTTGAATCGTCACATATTTGAATCGATTTTCGACTGGCTCGCGGTTAATCGTTACATCCCTAGTATTTAATAATACTAAATAAAATTAAAAAAAAAAAAATATTTATATAATATAAAATAAATAATAATAATGATAAAAATTTATAATGTAATTTTACAGTTGTAATGTGAAATGAAACTAATATTATTTATGGCTGTCTTAACTATTTCTTAATTTTATTTTCAAACATTACACCACTGAACTTTTTTGGTGGGGAAAAACAAACCACAGAGATACCTTAATGCTTCTTTTTTTTTTGTTGATAAGCACTAGGGTTGGGCGATGTCTACCAAACGATGTCTGCAGTGAAACATCGTGATGGACGATGACATCAGGGGACGAGGCGGGGTTAGGGGTGTACCCGAAGCGTGAAACAAATAACGCGTTATAGAGCCACTAAAAGGTTAGCCACTTGCTAGCGGTAGCCTGTTGCATTACGGTACATGAAAGTTCACTTACCACATACACAGAGTAAAGAGAAATGTCTGATAGGACGATGGTGAATGATTTGCAGATCCTGAGAACCAATGACAAACATCTAATCTTGTCAAATGTGTGGCAAATACATCCGCTCCATAGTACAGAGTCCTTGTGATCGCGAATCTCAAAAGTGAAAGTGAAAGTAAAATGAGAGCGCGCAATTGAAAGCGGTTTCAATAGCGGCTTCCTAATGCCAGCAATTTATATACAGTCGCCTATACTTACCCAACGATATAATTGCGAGAAAAAGTATTGAAATATTTTTTTTATCCTCCCATCTCATAGGCTATTTATTCCCTTTAGGGTTTCCGTAGTACACTTCATTTCCTTTCCGAACACGGAACTGGGATGAGGCGGATTGCGGGAGAGGGGGTGGGGATCACGATGTCAGCTTAACATCGTGATGTCTGTCAGCCATCAGCGATGGACGATGGCATCGTCTATCGGCCCAACCCTAATAAGCACTACTCATTAGATGTTTGGGAAGGCATATGTTGCATTTCCAAATGCACATTATATCGACACAAACTCATCATGATCATGAGCTGCTTGTGTAAGAAAGCAGTGCCGCACTTCACTGTGAAAGACGCAGCAAGTTCCAGACCTGTGTGACTTTTCACATACATAAAAGATGATCTTTTGAAGAAATGTTTTCTTCTTGGTCCATGCATTGAAGATCAATGAGATTCAAAAAATAGCACCGTCTCCACTGACTTTCACTGTATGGACAAAAAACAGTGAGATCCTTTTCTTTTTTCATTCATCTTTTTTCGGTGAACTATCCCTTTAAGCAAAGCAAAGGCTCGGGCTCTCTCTCTCACAAGAGTAAACCGTTTACGTTTAACTAAACATCTCCAAAGAGTTACACGGAAACAGGCATGTAAACCTACAATCCTCCTCAATGTCCAATGGGAACGCATCCCAATGGCCTTATGGATTGTAAATGGTATAAAACATGGCATTTCCCAATAACACAGTTCCGTTTCATCAACAAACACCAGCGGCTGTGAGGGCAATGAAACAAATAACGCGTTATACGGAGCCACTAAAAGGTTAGCCACTTGCTAGCGGTAGCCTGTTGCATTACGGTACATGAAAGTTCACTTACCACATACACAGAGTAAAGAGAAATGTCTGATAGGACGATGGTGAATGATTTGCAGATCCTGAGAACCAATGACAAACATCTAATCTTGTCAAATGTGTGGCAAATACATCCGCTCCATAGTACAGAGTCCTTGTGATCGCGAATCTCAAAAGTGAAAGTGAAAGTAAAATGAGAGCGCGCAATTGAAAGCGGTTTCAATAGCGGCTTCCTAATGCCAGCAATTTATATACAGTCGCCTATACTTACCCAACGATATAATTGCGAGAAAAAGTATTGAAATATTTTTTTTATCCTCCCATCTCATAGGCTATTTATTCCCTTTAGGGTTTCCGTAGTACACTTCATTTCCTTTCCGAACACGGAACTGGGATGAGGCGGATTGCGGGAGAGGGGGTGGGGATCACGATGTCAGCTTAACATCGTGATGTCTGTCAGCCATCAGCGATGGACGATGGCATCGTCTATCGGCCCAACCCTAATAAGCACTACTCATTAGATGTTTGGGAAGGCATATGTTGCATTTCCAAATGCACATTATATCGACACAAACTCATCATGATCATGAGCTGCTTGTGTAAGAAAGCAGTGCCGCACTTCACTGTGAAAGACGCAGCAAGTTCCAGACCTGTGTGACTTTTCACATACATAAAAGATGATCTTTTGAAGAAATGTTTTCTTCTTGGTCCATGCATTGAAGATCAATGAGATTCAAAAAATAGCACCGTCTCCACTGACTTTCACTGTATGGACAAAAAACAGTGAGATCCTTTTCTTTTTTCATTCATCTTTTTTCGGTGAACTATCCCTTTAAGCAAAGCAAAGGCTCGGGCTCTCTCTCTCACAAGAGTAAACCGTTTACGTTTAACTAAACATCTCCAAAGAGTTACACGGAAACAGGCATGTAAACCTACAATCCTCCTCAATGTCCAATGGGAACGCATCCCAATGGCCTTATGGATTGTAAATGGTATAAAACATGGCATTTCCCAATAGCACAGTTCCGTTTCATCAACAAACACCAGCGGCTGTGAGGGCAAATACATTCTCAGGGGGAAGTCGTGGCCTAATGGTTAGAGAGTCGGACTCATAACCCAAAGGTTGTGGGTTCGAGTCTCGTACCGGCAGGGATTGTAGGTGGGGGGAGTGAATGTACAGCGCTGTCTCCCACCTTCAATACCACGACTGAGGTGCCCTTGAGCAAGACACCGAACCCTCAACTGCTCCCCGGGCGCCGCAGCATAGATGGCTGCCCACTGCTCCGGGTGTGTGTTCACGGTGTGTGTGTGTTCACTGCTGTGTGTGTGCACTTTGGATGGGTAAATGCAGAGCACTAATTCTGAGTATGGGTCACCATACTTGGCCACATGTCACGTCACTTCACTTCACTTCACGTCACTTCATTTCTAACAAACTAAGACTCAACACTTGAACCGCGTCCAGACCACCCTGTACTAATTATTCCCAAAATAAGCAGTGGGGAGAGAGTTTCTGTGCGCGCCACACCCATAAAGCATGTACTCAAAACAGATCCGAGAATAGTGCGGTGGTCCGGAGGACTGCTGATTTATGTGCCTGACCCCAGCCTGACTCACTCAGGACGGCCTTTTTTGAGAGGTCAAGAGCGAGAGAGCGGTCACGTACCGTCAGCGCTTACGTCCTGCTCCTGTCCAGCACCTTCTCACGGAGGACAGACGCTGTCGTATCTGGACCTGCTGAAAGAGAAGATCATTTATTGATCCATTCATTGAAGTACAATAATACCGTAACTAACAAACACAGAAAAGACTGCAAAAGTGCTGCATTCATGAAAATCTTTTTAATATGTTGTAACAAATTAAATTTCACACACACACTATATATATATATATATATATATATATATATATATATATATATATATATATACATACATACATACATATATACATA